AGAGAGAGAGAGAGAGAAGGAGAAGAAGAGAAAAAGAGGAGGAGGAGGGAGAGAAGTAAAAGAAGCAGAGGCAGAGGAAGGGAGGGGAGGAGAAGAGGAGAAAGAGGAGAAACAGAAGAAGCAGAAGGAATGGGAAGGAGAAGGAGGAGGAAGAGAAGCAGGAGAAGCAGAAAGAAGCAGAAGCATGGGAAGAGGAAGAGGGAGGAGGAGGAGGAGAAGGAGGATGCGAAGAAGAAGAGGAGGAGGAGGAAAAGAGAAGCAGAAGAAGCAGAGGAAGAGGAAGGAGGAGAAGGAAGAGGCAAAGAAGAAGAAGAGGAAGAGAAAAAGAGGAGAAGCAGAAAGAAACAGAGGAAGAGAAGGTGAAGAAGAAGAAGGAGGAGGGGAGAAGCAGAAACAGAAGAAGAGGAAGAGAAGCATAAAGAAGCAAAAGCAGAGGAAGAGGAAGGAGGAGAAGGAAGATGTGAAGAAGAAGAAGAAGAAGAGGAGGAGGAAGAGAAGGAGAAAAAGAAGAGCAGAAAGAAGCAGAAGCAGAGGAAGAGGAAAAAGGAGAAAAGGGAGGAGAAGGAGGACACGAAGAAGAAGGAGGAGAAAAAGAGGAGATGCAGAAGAAGCAGAGGAAGAGGAAGGCGAAGGTGAAGAAGGAGGAGGAAGGGGAGAAGCAGAAGAAGCAGAAAGAAGCAAAAGCAGAGGGAGAGGAAGAAGGCGAAGACGAAGGAGGAGAAGGAAGAGGTGAAGAAGAAGGAGTAGAAGAAGAAGAAGAGGAGAAAAAGAGGAGAAGCAGAAAGAAGCAGAGGAAGAGGAAGAGAAGGTGAAGAAGGAGGAGGAGGAGGGGGAGAAGCAGAAACAGAAGAAGAAGAGGAAGAGAAGCAGAAGAAGCAAAAGCAGAGGAAGAGGAAGGAGGAGAAGAGGAAGGAGGAGAAGGAAGAGGCGAAGGAGAAGAAGAGGAGGAGGAGGAGGAGAAAAAGAGGAGAAGCAGAAAGAAGCAGAGGAAGAGGAGGAGGAGAAGAAGAAACAGGGCAACTGTGATAGACATGAGCCAGTTTCCAATTTCCTGAATTTTGATCCGGTGACCACAAGGATGCGGCAACGGTCGTAAGTGTGAAAAACCGTCGTAAGTCACCTTTTCCAGTGCCGTCGTAACTTTGAGCCACCACCAAATGAACCGACTTGCCTGTAAAAAAAACAAAAACAATCTGCTTCCTCCCCCCATCCCCCCCCCATGGCCTGTCCTTGGGTTTACCTTTTCTTCTCGGTGTCTCCTCTCCTGCTCTTCAAGGCGCTGGACCTCCGCGAGTTCCGCCGCCCGCATTTCAAGGAAGGCGTACTGATGCGCCCGCAGATTGGCCAGTTCCTCTTCCTCCATCACCTCCAGCAGAGCCTGCTCGATGGTTTTGCCCACCAAGACCTCCAGCATGGGCCGGACTTCGATATCAAAATCAAAAAGCTGGGAAGAGACCCGAAGGGGGGAAACATTTGATTCCATTGAAGAGAAGAAGACTTCCGGGGGGAATGGTTCTCTGCACATCTCTTTCCCCAAAACTTCCTGTGAACATTTTGAGAGAACCTTCTTCCCCCCTTAAAGGTTCCCCTCCCACATCTGTGCTAGTCCTTCCCGACTCCAGGGGGCAGTGCTCATCCCCGTTTCAAAGCCGAAGAGCCAGCGCTGTCCGAAGACGTCTCCGTGGTCATGTGGCCGGCATGACTCAACTCCCGAAGCCACCCAGAACGCTGTTCCCTTCCCACCAAAGGTGGTCCCTGTTTTTCTACTTGCATTTTTTACATGCTTTCGAACTGCTAGGTTGGCAGAAGCTGGGAGGAGTCACGGGAGCTCCCTCNGGAAGACTGCTATCATGTCTCCCCTGGTTCCTTCTTTTCATTATACTAGACATCCCCAGTTTCTGCAACCGTTCTTCATATTTTTTAGCCTCCAGTCCCCTCATCCTCTTTGTTGCTCTTCTCTGCACTCTTTCTAGAGTCTCCACATCTTTTCTACATCACGGTGGCCAAAACTGGATGCCGGATTCCAAATGTGGTTGTACTGGAGTGAAAAAGGAGCTCCATTTGCTAGGAGTCTAGGAAACCAGGAATGTGGAATCAGAGGCGGGATTCTGACCACTTCTGGAGAACCGGTAGCGGAAATTTTGAGTAGTTCGGAGAACTAGCAAACGCCACCTCTGGCTGGCCGCGCCCCTATCTATTCTCTGCTTCCCGAGTCCCAGCTGATCGGGAGGGAATGGGGATTTTACAGTATACTTCCCCTACCATGCCCACCAAGCCACGCCCACAGACCGGGTAGTAAATTTTTGTGAATCTCACCACTTGTGTGGTATGGGGCGGAGTGCGGGTGAGCGGACCTTCTGTACCTAGCCGACAAAATTTGGGAAACCCTAATCCAATTGTTTGTGACGGCATGCAATAAGAAGAGATTGGACAGCCATTTGTCCAGAGTGGGGAACGGTGTCCTACTTGGGCTAGAAGATGGATCTGGGCAGACTCGAAT